AATTGGTACAAGAAGTATCATTCAGAATGAAGTATCATAACGAAACAAGGTATGATCCGAATTTTTGTGACGTGGTATCTGGAATATTTAATATATATCCGCACCCCATCAAGACTACCCACCCTCACTATTCTCATGCACTCGGCGTGATCCAGTCCTCCGACAGGCTGAGGCAGCACGGCCCCAGCGAAGCGGTCTTACTGAAGTGATTCCGTGTTCGACCCCTTCCCTGCCCGAGTTCCTACAAACACCGACAGTCTGGCGTCTTGTCGGAGCGGCGCTTGGGCTCCTCGAGCCCGACCCCGAGCCCGGGACCTGGCGGATGTAAGGCGGGTCTTGAGAACGTTAAGAGAAGTCAAGAACGGCACGTACTCGGTCAAGAAAGGCGGGCCACAAGGAAAGTACTTGATCCAGCAGACGCTTCGCTATTCCGGCTATAAGCTACTACAGAAGGAGCTGAAGAAGGAGGGAAACAAAGACTTGCTATATATTCTCGAGAACCTCCAGTAAGCCTGCTTTTCCAAGATTATGGCATATGACGCTTCTGACATACTAGCTTCAACTACATACGTCGCCCTCTCTAAGGCGACAAGCACTTCGTCATCTATATACCGTCTGCCTTCCACTAGAGTATAGCTAGGATGTTTAGCAACGAAATCATAATATAGCTAGGTTCCATCAGAATAGGTGTACTTTACGCATTTGATAGTACTAAAGAGGAGACTAAGAATATGACGAAAAAGATATATTCTTTGCTTATAGTAAGGGTAGAGTATAATGAACCTTATAGCGACTATCTAAATCTAGATCTCTTCTATACTTTTAGGGATTATATAGTTGTCGACTTGTTGATTAAAGTGGTATAGTCTTAGAGTAATTTATGATTGTCTAATAGGGTACGACGATATATTAAAGGGAAGAATAGCAGAATCTAAACTATCATCGGGCTGAATATAGGTGATATCTACCGGGGCGGATGTTAGACAATATTCTCTATATGGAAAGCCAAGCTTGTTGATAATAAGTGGAGATCAATCTTGACGACTAAAGATTAGGTATGATGATAACGTTCCAAAGTCCTAGGTTATGGTAGTGCTGACGGCAACCTAGGTGTTTATCGATGAAAATAGACAAGCTGTCAAAGACTGTGTCATACGTCTCTTCCTGAAAGACTTCCTATGCGAACAGAAAGAGCATAAGTTGGGAGACTTTGAAGGTGTACCTTTGGAGATTTCCTTGGTAAAACTTCATCACCTTTATAAGCGTACATTCAGGCGGTATGTTATGGGCGAGGCTGAGGAAGCGCTGGATGAAGTAGCGAGGAAAGCAGATGAGTCCTTAGAGAAGATGCTCAGGATGAAGGAGATGGAGAAGAACGACTTGGCAGAGGTGCAAAATATGATGTCCGATATAAGATATAGTGTTATTCTGATGAGAAGCTTGATGAAGGATATAAAAGAAAAGATAGACAAGGTAGATGTAATGGACGATGTGGAGGAAAAGAAAGTTGAAACGGAGAAGAAGGTAGCTGAAGTAGAAGCAAGAATGGCTGAAATATAGCTGAGGAAGAAAAGATGATCGAGTGCTAGCTCTCACTGGGAGGCTCCTCTAGACGAAATTGCAGATGCAGCGAGAAGGGGTGACTCTCAGGCAACCCGCGGCCGGAGGACGGCTGCGACGATGGCGTTCGGAGATATGCAGTCTCGAGCTCGATTCGTCAAAACCGGTACTTGGCCTCAGCACCTCAGATCGAATTCAATCGAATTTCCAACCTGTCACCCTCGCACTCTGAGGCGTCTAACCCAGGTCGGAAGCCACCATTCCAATAACATAAAAAGACCGGAACGCCATCCGACCAGCCATCCTGCCCACCGTCTGCCCACTAGTACAGCACGAAAGATGCCGACACGCACTGTCATCCTCGTGCCCGAGTATTTCCGTCGCGAACCTGCCTGATCAGACCGACGTTCACGCCTTCCAGTAATCTGACCTAGCGCCGAATACGACTACGTAGTGGCTCCATATGATGACTGTCCTTCTTCCTCCGCCCAACTGAGTGTTCCATCGTCATTCCTATGAAAGTAGCGTCGCATTGTCCCATCCCACTGCCAATACGCCTTCCCCACGCTAGTATCCTCCGACGGTTGTGTGCTTCTGGACGTGCTGCTGTTTCGGCGCGACGACGATGACTTGAGCCTTTTACCACGGCCGACATCAGAGTCGTCAGACGGTAGTGGACGGGACTTTGCTGCTTCAGAAGCTCTCTTCCTGCTCTCTTCAAGGAGGGTGTCCAGAGAAGACCGAATCTCGTTCAGTCTCTTGTCCCTTCCCCAGTCGATGATGTTACGAACGTACTTACGAAACTCGATGTAGTGCTCTGGGTCTTGGAGCAAGAAGCTTCGAACGCTTGCCATATAATAGTCTAGCTCATTCTGCTTCCATGAGATATATAGCCGGGCTTCAGTGCCACTCATCGCGATACTAAATATAGCATTGTTGACTAATTGAACTTCTTCACTCTTGTACTGCCTCAACTGGCTGTTAAGACGTTTGGTAATGTTGACGTAGGATGTAGAACCGCCAAGGCACTGATTTGTCGCCATCCATAAGGTACCTCCTCCCGACGGTCCGTCGCCCTTGAACTCGACGATAAAGAACGGATACAATAGCCTATTATCCTGGTTGTTGACTACCACTTTCGTCCCTATAGATATCAGCTGGGTTTGTTGCTAAGGAAAGACGTTGTGATAGTTATATTTATAGAGTATATTAGATATTAGGTTACTGACTTTAAGCTTAGATCTAGTATTGAAGATAGTATATCTAGCCATAGGCTATTTATCGAAACGTTTAAGGCTATTTAATAATTTAAAGTTAGAGAAGATATAAATATGAAAATATTTCTCAACTTCTGATTCTTTTGCTATATCTATAGAGAGGTTATATAGATCTCTATCTTATTTGACTTTGTCTGATGATAGCCTTAGGGAATTATGATCCTGGCGGATGTGATCAATAAGATTGGTAAGATATTCTAGAATAAGGTCATACAGATGGTGTATATAAATGTTGTTTATAGTAAGGTTCATATCCTGGTAGAGTGGATCCTTGATAAGGCCTCGTCCGGACGCTTGTGAAGAGCTTAGAGTAAACCCGGTGACATCAGACGGAGCGACCGATACGCCATCACTGTCTGCGTGTGACCGAGACTGAGTCGATGCCGGCGTCGGCGGCACCGCGAACCCATCGGCATCCTGTGTATAACCCATCTGAGGTGCCGATTTCGCAAGTCGTCTCGAGACAGGTTCGCTTACTGACTGGCTCAGATAACTGTCCGACCGGCAGCGTGTATCTCGATCAGAACCAAGTGACTCGAGCCACTGGGAGATAAAGCTGTGCGAAGGCGGGGGAGGGCCCGGCTCGAGGGGCTCGACAAGTCTCTCGAGGAAGGCGGCGCGTGGAGGTTTCGGCTTCGGATGCTGAATAATTGTCGTCTGCTTCGTTATTAGCAGTTGATCCGTGGATGGGCAGGCATGTCGCCGTACCTTGTCTGCGGGTTGAGATTCTTCTCCCTCTTCTCCTTCCTCGGCTTCAGTCGATATTCGTGGTCTCTTCGCAGCCGAGTCGTCGGTCTCGTCCAGCCGCCTTTTTCTCGATTGGGTCGGCACGTCTTGGAGGCTCGCTGTCGTTGGAGATGGAACACCCTCGTTCGGCGGATGCTCTGTATCATACGGAGTCAACACATCACACATCTCGACAGAATGATGCCAAGTCAAACACATACCTATACCCTCTCCTGCGACAGCGTTGAGCAGTTGTTCTTGCAGCAGCTGGGATGTATTCATACGAGGGCGCCTAAGCCGAGCCTTGGACACTCTATAACCCATGACGGAAGCGCCTTCGTAGTGTGAAGGAGATGGATTGTGGTCAGGCCTGCTTCGTGCGGGGTTGAGCGTGGAAATATAACGTTTGGCAGGAAACGCGCGCTTAAAATTGATTGGCTCTGCTTGACTGGCACCGACAGGGACCCCACTCTGTGGGGATACCACGTGGTCTGTGCTCGCGGTCAAAGAATGGTCGGCGTAGGCCACTATCTAGAGTAGCTGGTGAGTGGTGAGTGAAGGGGTCGCAATGTGCGTGGTCACCTATCTGGCTTGTCGATACTACGCCTTGGAGATCTGTGATCGAAGCATCGTATCCGAACGTGAGAACGCGGGCTGTCGGGAACTCAAGCGGCAGCAGGGTTGTAGGCCACGGTTCGATTGCGCCAGTAGCGGTCTATGACCTCTCTTGATCGCCGCTTAGACTATGGATGAAGACAAGACTAAACGGGAGAAAGTCAGTAGTAGTCTTTCGACTAGTCAAGCGATAGATGGCCGTAGGGCATACTCTACAATAGCTTTGTCGGGGCTATAGAGCGGTTTGATGCCGACAGGGAAGGTATTCGTGGCTAACGAGGGACTGGTCGCAGGTGATGGCGAATCCGGTGAGGTAGCACTTTGGCGCTTAAAGAACCGCATTTCACTCAAATCGCGTAAAAGATCGGGACCTGGCGTACGAAAGTCCTAAGGTAGGCAAAAGGTTTCACATCACGACGTGTGGATGTTGTAGCTGTCGCCACGGACGAGTTGCGAGGCAAAGAAGGACACCATTCCGCGCGGTTGCCTGAACTCAAAAGTCATGTGCCGTAGCATGTGATCAGTAATTCTGTTGGACCGATCAACCTTCCGACTTGTGATGATTAAGATAAGAAAAAGGGCTGGAAATGGCACGAAGAGGGCAACATGACCGGAAGCCAAGACGCAGGAGGTCCACGGAACTTCATCGCGGTTCCATCCTCGGAGCGATTTAGGACGACGAGCCACCATCGAGCCCCTCCAGCATCCCGAAACTGCAGTCATGACCGCCGACGCTCATACCCGTCGGCAAGGCCTCGTCATAGAGAGGTGGGAGAAAATCTAGATCAATACTGTACGTCGGCATGGTCCGCATGATCATCGTCACTGTCGCAGCTTGACGCCGTGGACTGTTTGTACGTGGTGTTTGAAATGGTCCAGGTTCTCCAAGAAATCCCCCAGAAGTTTGCAATCAGGATGGTGGCAGACAAACCTTCCTCCGACCGGACCACGTCGCAGGTGCACGTTCTCGACGTGGTCCATCATGTGGGAGACACGGCTGAAAGTACGTGTGCGATCCTTATACGACAGCGTCTCATCTCCCACACAGGAAATGCACTGCGTCCTCGAGAGTACCAGCGGGATCTCCTCGTATTTCATTGCTGGCGGTAGGTCTGACAGCCTGCCGGCAGAGCTCGATCCGCATGGCGGCGATGGGCGTGGCCCACGCATCTCCCGCCGGGATGCGAGTGCGACCATGAGGTTGATGGCACGTATCTTGCGGTCCGTCAGACGCTTCCAGTCAAGGTCTATGTTGAAGTCGCATAGGATTGCCTGCAGCTGGTTCCGCTCTTCTAGCTGGTGTTGGACAGCGGACACTGTCTCGTCGGCTGCCGTTATCCCGCTCAGCTGCCGCTCTAGCTCTTCATTGTGGATGCGACGTCGCAAGGCATCTTGATACACTCTCGTCATGTCGTCCCGAAAATTCTTCTCGGCGTTCCTTAGATCTCTCTGGAGCTGGCGATACTCGTCGCGAATGGTCTGTGGGGCCCGTTTGATGAACCTATATTCCCGTCGGATGCTGTGAAACATCTGCTTAACTCGCCTTGAAAGAGTAACGATGTCTGGGTCGAGATCAATCTTGTCGAGCTCGGCCCGGGGAATTTCCCTGGGGACTTCTGGGTTGTACCTGATGCTCATATGGATGAAGGCCCACGTGAGGCCATCAGCCGACGGGTCTCTCTCGAGGAACGCATCCTGCACGTTGAATCCGACACGGTGGTTGAGGTAGGAACTGGCTAGGCATCCGGTCATAGGGTCATGCCGTATGACCTGATCGACGACCATATCCGGCGCCCGCCTGAGGATCGCGTTCGCGTTGCCGCGACATATGCAATACGACGTCTACTTCTCCTTGGACCCGAGGCCTTATCCAATACGATCAAGGTATAATGTATATGTAAAATACCTTATCAGGTCTGATTTCGACTTCTCCCATCCTCCCGCCGCGGTCCGCACCAACTTGCGGAAGAGGGGCTGCTTTATCACGTTGGGCTTCTAGTTCACCTTCGTCGTACGCTTCCCGAGCCGCGTCGAGAAGAAGGGTTCGGCGGTGGTATAGCCGCCAACTTCGACAGCGTCGTCGAGGATCGCGCGGGCCAGGATGTGGCTGATGGGACATAGGATCGTAAGAGGATGCTTGCGAAACAAGAAGACGGTCCTAGAGAGGAGTCAACGCATGAACCAAGCCAGATTGAGTTACCAGGTGGATCAGTACGGTTTTGGCTTGTTGTCTGACCCTTTGTGGTATCGAAAGTAGACCTCCATTGCGAGGACATCTCTGCCGCCCTGATTAGGGTCCTTGACCATCCAGAGGGTGATATTTTTATAGCAGAGTGCCTTGTGTTCCCGGGTTGGGTCGCCGAGCTCGTCCGACCCGGGGCCATGAGAGGTTCGAGAGTACCCGGCGGCTTCACCATGGCTGCCGTCATCGGCAACTTCCTCGTCATCGAGTTCAGTATCGTACGTCATGTCACTATCATATCCGTCATCGTCAAAGGTTGATGCCCTGTCTTCGTCTTCGTTGTTCTCATCCTCGTCCTCGGCGTCCTCGTTGCTACAGCTATCCACTTGCATGACGTCGTGCATAGCGTCGTGTACGAAATCATCGTCCGAACCGGCACGACTGACGTCTTGAGGACCACCGGTGCTGGGTCTATGGCCAATCCCGTCGTCTGGCTCGTCCTTCAAGGGATCCCCACCGCCCCTGCTCTTGGTTCCGTCAACAAGCTCGGCAGGCCGGCAGGCCGTATACGCCTGAAAGAGCATGATTGTCGGCAGGTCGAGCCGATCGGCCTCGGTAGGAAACACCGACCTGTCGTAGGACTAATGGTGGGTGAGCCATATGAGGAGGTCATCCACGCCTAGCACCGGCTTCGGTTTGGGAAGTATATTTAGGTGAAACTCTTCCGTCAAGTCTCTCCTGATGTACTTCGACATAGTCAGCGTCTTTCGCGGCAGGCTATCACACTCTCGCGAGGCACATAGCCTTACCTTGACGACTTCCTTGCAGTCATTCCCGTTGATGACTCTGCCCTTGTTGGATCGCCGGTACAATGGCTTGAAGTCTCGCCAATACTGGTTGATGCTCTTCTGCTTCGACCTCCTACCCCTCATGAGCCTTGGCTGTACATATGTCTTGCATATCCAGTGTAGGAAGGTCATGATCAGCCCCTTGTCGTAGTTCTTCTCCTTGATGGCATTCTTCTAAGGCCTATGTTTGTTTTCATAGTAGAACCTGGGTTGTCAGCGTGACTTGAACAAATGTTCCTCAAGGAACCTCTCCCTCCACCACCAGCCCCTTACCCAATAAACCTCTTCTTGATGTAGTATATGTTACACTTGGTCGTGTCGGCATCCAGCAGGCAGATAAACTTGGTCTTGTTCAGCTTCTTTCGCATTCGCTGGTAACAGCGTGCGTAGAGCTTCTTCGGCTGCTGTTCTTTATGGACAGTAGCCATACGGTGGCGGCGCTTTGCCGCTCTCTGGAGGGCACCAAGGACATCTGGGTGAAGATCTCGACTGGTCGTGTCTGGTGCCATGGCTGTGGTGTGGTGTTGGGCTCTGAATCAGGTTTGATAGGAGCAGGGCAGAGAGAAGAAAGAGAGGAGGAGAGGGAGAGAGAGAACGAGAAGGGGACGAGAAGGGGGACGAGGAGGAGGGGAGCGAGAGGATGGCATGTAGGTAATGGAGTAGAGGACGAAGTCCATTGTACAGCAGATAGCAGGTACAGATTCGTTCGAGAGCCTCTGGTGATTGACATGCCTTGGGAGCTGCCGAAGGGCATCCCATCACTGGGCCCCCCCCTTTTCTCCGGGGCCGCTTGGCTCCTGTGAGCGGCTTGCTCTGAAGGCGAGCCATTTGAGGAGTGACTAGAGATGGTAATGGACCTGGCCATGCCTCGTGCTTTCTCATTACACTCACCCCCTCCCATCCCCCCTCTGTCTATTCCCGGCTGGCATATGGGAGAAGGAGTAGGTGTATGGGAGAGAGAGAGGGAGGCTCGCGGTCGAAGCCGCCTAAAGCAGCGTCAGGTGCCACCGGATCCGGCGGGCAAGACCGCGACACTCGACTTTATTATATAATAAATGATGATACTTTTACCATTATAATTGCTTGACAGTAGTAAGATATAATTTAGAGAGAGTATTATCATTAGTATTATAAAGGTTAAAACCCTTTATAAACGCTTAGATTAAGTATACTTATTAATCAATAAGTTAAATAATATAATAAATTTAACGATAATAATATTATAAAGCTTAAAGCTATCGATAATATGATAGTAGCTTTGATAGTAGTAGATCTATCATATTAAAAGAAAAGTAGACTATATATATATTTACTCTTTAACTTAAATACTTTTTTATATTTATAAGAATATTTTTATAAAGACTTTAACACTCTTTCTTTATTATAATTATTTTTTTATTTTTATAAAAGACTATTTAAGTTAAAATATATTATTAACTGCTTACGAAAGGATTAGTTTATATAAGACTTTAATAAGCTATCGTCTACTTTTGATGATAATCTTTAAGTATTTTTCTTAATATTAGATAATATAGTTATTAAATATAAGTTTGATTTAAAGTTAATTATAATAGGGTTTCCTTTGTAAGGAGGCTAGGTAGGTTAAGATGGGTGGAAGTAGGTACTTGATTGATTATAAGACTGAATCTTATAGAGTAGTAAAACTCTATACTTGCTAAGGAGGCTATATAGCTTATATATCGTCTGAGAGGTAGTGGTGGCTAGGTATAATGGCCAGCCACATCAGGGTGCCGAATAGCCTTACTTTACAATTATCTCTCCTTTCGAGACAGTAGTCTTTTGCTATATCGTCGGATAGTCGCTAAGGTAATGGCGTCAGATGAATATAGTATCGCTAGCCGTCAGATCGGGCCTATAGCCTAAAACAGTCTATAGGCTATAAGATAGCTATAATATAAACAACTCTCTATCTTTTATACCTCTTCCTATTTTCTTTTCTTTTTCTAGCTTTAACTATACTTTTACCATTAAGTCTTTCTTGTCTCTTCCCCCTACATACTACCATCATAGCCTAAGCTTCTGACGCTAACAAGTATAAGAAGGTCAATTATCGTTTTAACAATCCTTATAATACTTACTGTCAGCAGTACCATTCTTATAATGACACTTATAAGACTATAAGTAACGGTAGGTTCATATATACGAAAGATATATAAAACATAAATAATTTAAAAGCTAACTTCTAATATATAGACAGTTACTAATTGTTTAGATAATTAGGCTAACTTAAATAAGTTGCTACGTTAAAATAACTAATTTGCCAAAAAGAAGGAAAGATCTTTAGATATTTTCTTAGCTACTTTTTACTAGATTGTTACCACCATCTCTAAAGAGCTTATAGAAAGCTTCTCTATAGTAGAAACTATCTACCATAAAGCCTATAATCTAATAAAAGCTAAGAAAGTAAAGAAGAAGGTATATATTAGTGACTATCTATAGATTCGTTACTAATACTTTTAAGCCTTTATCAAATATAAGGCTTTTATTACTATCTACTATATCTATCATATAAAGATATTAGATACTCTCTTTTATAAAGTAAGTTTACTATTATTTATCTGCTAGATACTAGCTAATAAAACATAAGTTAAGCTTAAAGAAGTATATCGACTAAAAGTATATATACTTTCTCTACCTTCTTACTAAAGATAAAGATTATCTCTCTTAAGCCTTATCTAAGAAGGTCTTTATAGCCACTATCTACCATAAGATTATAAACCTTTGCTAAGCTAGCGTTCTTGACGCTAGCTATAGCAATAATAAGTTGATAGACTTACTATTAAAAGATATTATCTTAGACTCTTAAGCTTCTTTTAGTTATATATTGCTAGCTTTTTGCTAGCAAAGATAGGGTTTTTGTTTTGATTTTCTTTTGTTAACGTTTTAGCGTTTTGTCTAAGATAGCTTCTTTAGAATTAGCTATATCTTTATCTAGCCTTTGCTAGTAGTTAAAAAGCTAAATAATAAAACGTTATTTTCTTTATACTTTTATCTTCTTTATAACTATATTTTATAATCTTTAGTCTTAAAAGCTTTCTTTTAAGACTATTTTTAGCTTAATTAAGCTTTTCCTTAAGTTTTTTTAATTATTTATCTAAAAAGATAAATATAAAACTTTATATTTCTTTCAATTATTATATAAAAGGTTTTTAAGACTTTTAAGATACTTTTAAGTTAACTTTACTATTATATTATCTAGTTATTAAATTAATAATATTATCTTTTACTTTACTAAGTATATATACTGTTTATATATAGCTATTTATATATAATCTTCTATTATAATAAAATATAGTAAGATCGATTATACTTATAATAATTCTTATAGTATATATTATATATAATATACTTACTATAATAATATTTATAATTAAATAAGATTATATATTTCCTTAGTATTAGAATATTAAGACTTTAGTAAATGTTTGGCTAATATAGATAATAACTTAAGCTATTATAGACTATTCTAAAGATTTAATAGATTTTGTCAAACTTCTTAAGTAAAAAGATTGGTTTATAAATAAAGAAGATTAAAATAAAGTCTTTATTTTCTTAGTAAGATTATATACTATAATCATTATAATATAAAAGAAGTTGATAAAAGACTTTAATATAATAAAGAAAATATATTAAAAAGCTTATAATATCGTTAAAGCTAAAAAAGCAAAAGCTAAGATAAAACCTTTTGACTTTCTCTAAAAACTTAACTAACCTTATTTAAGAGTATAGAAAATATAATAAGTTTATAAATTCTTATCATAAGTATTTTATAGTTTATATAAGCTATTATCTATATAATATAAGTCTATTACTATCTTTTTACTTCTTTAGCTAACTATTATAAACAATTTATATCTAACTTATAAGCTAGAAAGATATTTGCCTATCTTACCTTCTTATCAAAAAAGAAGGCTATTTAGCTTAGTTTTTTTCTAAGTCTACTTTTATTACTATTATCTATAATATTCTAAAGATATTAGAGTTAGATAATATAGCTAAAGAGTTAATTAAAAAGTTATCTAAAAGTATAATAGTTAAAATATAAAGATAGATATTATTTTATCTTCTTATATTTGTTTATATTATAAGATAGTTTTACTATCTCTTTCTTTGATTATCTTTATCCTTTTACTTTTATTAGAAACGTTTGATTATAATAGAGGCGTTTTTAAGATATTCTATCAATTTCTATTAGTTATATTCGAAAGGCTAGCCTTTCTACTTTACTAAATAGTATAAATTATCATTAAGATAGTATTAACTTAATATTTTCTTTACTTTCTATTCTTTATCTTTATCTTTTAGATTAGATATAAAAAGTATCTCCTTATTTTTAGTATTCTTTCGCTAATTTTATAGTTTAAATACTTAAATTAAAAATATATTATATAATCAAAAATACTTTTTTAATAAAGCTAAACAATAAGCTTATAACTTTACTATATTAATAATATAAAAAAAGCCGATATAGTTAGATAGTAGCTTCTTTAACTTATTTTTAAATTTAATATTTTTAGTTGACAATCCTACTAACTATCCTCTCTTAAGCTTAAGTTCTAAATATTATTTATTATAATACTTTACTTATATTTTAATAGCTTTATGCTAATATTCTTTAAGCTACTCTTATAATTCTATAAGCTTTTAGACTCTTATCTTAGCTTTAAAGACTTTTTCTTTAAAAGTATCATCTTTAATATCTAGGTGAAAATCGATATTATAGTTTAGCAAAGCCTAAATAAATATTATACTTATCGTTATATTTCTAGCGTTATTATAAGCAAATTCTACTATATAAAGTAGTATAAGCTAGTTTAACTATTCTTTGTTAACAAAATAATATAAATAATATTCTAAAGTCTAATTTAACTACTTTATTTAACTGTCTGTTTATAGGTAAAACGTTATCGATAACCTTCTATAGATTTAGCTTAAAAAGTAGAAATCTACCTAAAATTAGCTTATAAATATTAAACCTTTATTAGAGACAATACTATTAGATAGTCTATATTTTAGCTTTATTTTAATATAGAATAGTTATACTAGTTTGTTTAATATAATCTTTATTAAAATTAGAAAGAAAAATAAGTATTTAGAGAATTGATTGATAATTACTAAAATAGTGTTGACTAATTATTCCTTAAAATAAACTAAGGATAGTTTTATAATAAAATCTATTAAAAGTTTCTTTATTAACTATTTAAGCATTAGTAATGATTCTAGCTTATTATATAGATGATAGTATAGTATTCTTATAGTATTATATATATTATAGCCTAAGATATAGTCTTTTATATTCTTATTTAGCTCTTTTTAATAATAATTCTATTATAATAATTCTATAGTCTAATTGATGCTAAAATAGCCTGCTAATATATTCTTATAATAAAGTGATAATATCTTTTTAATAATCTTTATATTTTAGAGAATATATAAGCGTTTATTCTTTAGTAATAAGCTTTAAGTACTAACTATTTAGCCTTATCTT